GCCCGGGGACCCGATGGCCTTCCGCGCGCTCGTGGCCCAGTGCCTGGTGTGCGTGCCCTGGGACGCCGGGCCGCCCCTCGCCGCTCCCTCCTTCCACCAGGTGGGCCGCTCGGGAAGGTGGGGGCGGGGCGGCCGGCGCGGGCACCTTCCCCGGCGACTCAGGACCGTCCCCCGCAGGTGTCCAGCCTCAAGGAGCTGATGGCCCGGGTGGTGCAGCGGCTGTGCGTGCGCGGCAGTCAGAACGTGCTGGCCTTTGGCTTCGCGCTGCTGGATGAGGCGCACGGCGGGCCGCCCGAGGCCTTCACCACATGCGTGCGCAGCTTCCAGCCCAACACGGTGACCGACACGCTGCGAGGCAGCGGCGCGTGGGGGCTGCTGCTGCAGCGCGTGGGCGACGACGTGCTGGCTCACCTGCTGGTGCGCTGCGCGCTCTACCTGCTGGTGGCCCCCAGCTGCGCCTACCAGGTGTGCGGGCCGCCCCTGTACAAGCTGGGCTCCGCCGAGACCCCTAGACCGCAGCCCGGGCGACATGCCGGCCGGACGCGAGCAGGCCGACAACCCACGCGCCGGACCTGGAGCAGCGACGCAGAGGCCGGGCAACCCCCGGGCCGGCCAGGCTTGGGTGGGAGGCGGTGTCGCACCCGCGGAAGTCTACCTCTGCCCAAGAAGCTCAGGTGTGGGCTGGCCGGTGAGCCCAAGTGCGGGGAGGGGCAGGGGGCCCGGGCGTCCCCGGGCACAGCGCCTCGGCCCGGTGACCACGATGCCTGTGCGGTGGCACCTACCAGAGCCGCCTTGGAAGTCCTGGCATCGGAAGGCAAGCCCTCTGGGACGCGTGGCTCCCTCCCACCGCTGGGCCGTGAGCCACAGGCGGGCTTCCCATCCCCACTGCGGCCGCCGCGTCCCCAAGCATGCATCGAGACCAAGCACTTCCTCTACTGCTCGGGTGACAGCGAGCGGCTGCACCCCTCCTTCCTGCTCTGCTCCCTGCGGCCCAGCCTGACCGGGGCCCAGAGGCTCGTGGAGGCCATCTTTTTGGCCTCGACTGCGCGGCCCCGCTGGAGGCGCCGCCTGCCCCCGCGCTATTGGCAGATGCGGCCCCTGTTCCGGAAGCTGCTCGGCAGCCATGCGCGGTGCCAATATGGCGTACTCCTCAGGACGCACTGTCCCCTGAGGCCCGCGGGCGTTCCAGCGGCTGGGGCCGCCACCCCCAGGGAGCCCCCAGGACCTGTGGCGAGCCCCGGGGAGGACTTGGGCCCGCGGTGCCTGGTGCCCCTGCTCCGCCAGCACTGCAGCCCCTGGCAGGTGTACAGCTTCCTGCGGGCCTGCCTGGGCCGCCTGGTGCCCGCCGGCCTCTGGGGCTCCAGGCACAACCAGCGCCGCTTCCTGAGGAACGTGAAGAAGCTGGTCTCCCTGGGGAAGCACGCCAAGCTGTCGCCGCAGGAGCTCACCTGGAGGATGAGGGTGCGCGACTGCGCGTGGTTGCGCCGGCGGTGCCCAGGGGAGGGGCGGGCGGGGCAGGAGGGGCTCAGAAGAGGGGCCTGGGGCGGCAGGATCCCCGACTTCCAGCGTCCGTTCTATCGTCACGTGGCGGCGGGGACCCTGTCTGATCCCTCCAGTCTCAGACCCTGGAGACTCCCGTTTGTGTTTGTGCGGGTCCTAGGGGCTGGGGCCAGGCGCTGAGCGGTGGGGCGTGCAACGGGGCGGGGTTACTGGCTGCGGGGGATGACTCTGGATACTCAGCGTCTCCAGTGGGGGTGCCGGTAGGTTGTTCATAACCCACAGGTACTGACTCTGTTGTCCAGGCTGGAATGCACTGGCACCATCATGGCTCACTACAACCTTGAACTCCCGGCCTCAAGTGATCCTCCCGCCTCAGCCTCCCAAGTAGCTGGGAATATAGGTGCCTCCATGTTCAACTAATTTTCTTTTTGTAGAAATGGAGTCTTGCTGCATTGCCTAGGCCTCGGGTGTTCCTCCTGTCTTAACCTCCCAAAATGCAGAGACGACAGGCAGGAGCCACCACACCTGGCCTAGTTTAAGAATGTTGTTTTTTTTTTTTTGAGTCGGAATCTCCCTCTGTCACCCAGGCTGGAGTGCAGCAGCACGCTCACGGCCACTGCAGCCTCGACCTACTGGGCTTAGGCGATCCTTCTGCCTCAGCCTTCCAAGCAGCTGGAACTACAGGCAGGTGCCATCACGCCCAACTGATTTTTTGATTTACTATAGAGATGAGGTGTCACCAAGTTGCCCAGCCTGGTCTTGAACCCCCTGACTCAGGCAATCCTCTCACCTCAGCCTCCCAAAGTGCTGGAGTTACAGGCTGAGCCACCGTGCCCTACCAAGAGTGTATTTTATTAAAGCCTGTTACATCCAAAATGTCATCATGTTAAGATATCATGGGTAGGACCACCACTAGTGAGACACTTGACATTCTTCTGTGCCGTGTTTCCGTGCGTGTGGGTCCTGTGTGCAGCCCGTCTGAGGTCTGACTGGCTGTCGCCCATGGCCGTCTGGGGTCTGACTGGCTGTTGCCCATGGCCCCCGGCTGCTATACTGGATAGTGCGGCTCCTGGACCCGTGGTGAGTGGCAGGTGTCCGGCTCGGTTCTTGTTTTAGGGGGCAGCCGCGTCCCAGCCGCAGAACACCACCTCAGGGGGCAGATCCTGGCCAGGTTCTTGCACTGGCTGATGGGCGTGTACGTTGTTGAGCTGCTGCGGTCGTTCTTCTACGTCACGGAGACCACGTTTCAGAAGAACAGGCTCCTCTTCTACCGGAAGAGCGTCTGGAGCAAGTTGCGACGTATCGGAGTCAGGTACTACAGTCCAACACCAGCCACCTGATTCTCAAGTGCTTGGGACAGGAGCCCTGAGCCTCTGGCGGCTTGTCCCTGGGCCCTGCTGACCACTATCGGCCCTGTCATCGTCCTGGCTGCGGGGTCCTGTGCTGTGCACCACCAGCCTGGAGCCCATTTTCTTACCCGTGGAGTCAGGGTCGGCACTGGGTGGTTGCTAGGGTCCTTGAGGCGGAAGGATTTACACTGGTTAGAGACACGGCACTGCAGGCTGCTCCTCACCCTTGGGACGCAGGCCAGGTTCTGCCTCAGTTTACACATTTCGTGTGAATTTCTAACCGAGGAGGACTTAGGTCACCAGAGGATAAAGTTCCGCCTGCTGGACAGGTCACTGCAGGAAATACTTGCATAGAAGCGATTTGCCATGAGTTAACTTCTGTTTGCTTGTATTTATTTTATTTACTTTAAATTTTCAGAGATAGGGGTCACACTATGGCTCCCAGGCTGATCTCAAGCTCCTGGGCTCAAGTGATCCCTGCCTCAGCCTCCCAAAGTGCTGGGGCCACAGACATGAGCCCCAGTGCCTGCCTCAAGTTAACTTCTAGAAGTTTGGGTCTGACAGAATGGAATGAGATATTGTCTCTGCTGTTTGGATGATGTTTGGTGTCGGGTGAGGGCTTGAGGCAGGGGTGAGCTGAGTGTGCACCCGAGAGGGGATTGAGCCCCAGGCCGGGAGGCCAGGGCCCTGCTGAGCCCAGACCATAGCGTCCACTCCCCGTGTCCAGCCAGCAGATGCCCATCTGAGCTGAGAGTTCTCAGAGGGCTTGTGAGGCCCCTTAGGGACAAGAGCTGGGCTTCCGGGGCTCCCCGCACATTCGAGTCCACCCCTGGGCCCTGAGCTGGGTGTCTGCAGAGGGAGTTGGTGGCAGTCCTCACCAGACACCCATGGCTGGACTGGGATCTCGAGCCAACGCTGGGGCCATTTCCTTTGTGCCCGGGAGCAGGTCGGAACTGCAGTCTGATGATCACTCAGCTACTTACTTTGTAAACATCCTAGGGGTACCTGGCCCACCATGGCTGTGTGATGCCATCTTGGGGAGGGTACCAATGAGGTGCCAGGAAGGAGCAACTGGATGCAGCCTCTGAGACACTGCTGTCGTGACTGTGCCATGGGCCTTTGCGTCCTTGCTGCCTAGGGTGGGGCGCACCCTGCTTCTGCCCTGCCTGGGCCTGTGGCGTGGGGTTGGGACACGGGCCCAGTGGCCCTGGAGGGCCGGGTCAGCATCCAGCCCTTGCGAGTGGCTTTGGGGAAGGAAGAGGGATAGAGGTGTCAGGAGCCCATGGGTTTCACGGGAGCTGAGTCTGTCCTTGGCAGAACTGCTCTGAGCAGCCTCCTGTGCCCTATCTAGAGGAACACAGGTGTCTCTGCCAGAGGGTCCCGCAGGTCCTGCCTTGGTCTACCCCCGTGGCTGTGCCAGAGAGGCAGGTGTCCTGAGTGGAGGGTGCCCTATGAGGTGTCCGTGGGTGGCGTGGGCTCATGTGCCCTAGACCCTGCCCTGCAGCTCCGGGTGTAGCCTGGGACCAGCACCCCAGGGATGATCACACCACCGGGTGTCAGGCCCTGCAGGGGAGGGGCCCCGAGGCGTTTGGCCAGCGTGGGTTGCCCCAGCCCTGCCATGGGTGCCGTGAGCTCTGCTGAGCCGCTGGAGCCATTGTTCCTGTGAGCCACCACACGTGTCTTGGTGGAAGAGCCATGTCCTGAAGCCCTCTGTCCACAGGCAGCACCTCCAGAGGGTGCGAATGCGGGAACTCTCGGAGGCCGAGGTCCAGCAGCGTCGGCAGGCCAAGCCCGCCATGCTGACGTCCAAGCTCCGCTTTATCCCCAAACCCAACGGACTCCGGCCAGTTGTGAACATGGACTACGTCGTGGGGGCCAGGACCTTCTGCAGAGAGAACAGGGTGACCGTGCGCCTGTCTTGTCTTCCCCAGAACAGCGTGTGGGAGGGTCCTGGCAGGGCCAGGGTGGGCTCTGAAGACAGCAAGGGGAAGCCGGTTTAGGCGTGGACACGGCAGGGCCCAGGGGCTTGTGGAATCCTGCTGTGGCCCTGGGGTCACCACGTGCCTCAACATATGGGGCAGAGGGACCAGGGCCACCACTGAAACTTAGCCATCACCAGCCTGCCAGGCTCTGATGACCCTGGGACTGGCTCCAGCTCCTGTCCCCCCGAGGCTCCTGCTCCCCCCATGGCTCCTCCCCACGTGGCTTCTCCTCCCCCTGAGGCTCCTGCCCCCTCCATGGCTCATGCCACCCCGAGCAGGTTTCTGCCCCACCGTGGCTCCTGCTCGCCTGAGGCTCCTGCCACTCCAAGGCTCCTGCCCCCCCCCGCCGCATCCCCCCCCCCGCCAAGGCTCCTTTCTCCCCTTGGCTCCAGCCCCCATGGCTCCAGCTCTCCTGTGGTTCTTCCTTGGGTGGCTGGGGTGAGGACATGCTGGGGCTACCCGCCTTGGGTCCTGGGTGGGCATGTCTGCCCTCTCTGATGGCGTCCTCATGCTGCATCCGGGCCAGGCTTCGCGCTTCAGCTCACGGGTGAGGACTCTGTTCAGCGTGCTCAACTACGAGCGGACACAGCGGCCCAGCCTCATGGGCGCCTCCGTGCTGGGCCTGGACGACATTTACCGGGCGTGGCGGGCCTTCGTGCTGCGCATGCGGGCCCAGGACCCACCGGCCAGGCTGTACTTCGTCAAGGTGGGCGCCAGGCCCCACTCCCACCCCC